CAGTTTGTCACAGCCCCTCGTTTGTTGTCCTCTTCTCTCTCTCTGCCTACGGTTTACCGGGCAGTTCTGTTTGTGATGATATATATATATATATACATCTGAGGGGATTCTGCAGACTGTTGAGGGTTCAGCCTCCTGATGAGTCGGTGAAACTCCGACGAAACAGTTTGTCACAGCCCCTCGTTTGTTGTCCTCTTCTCTCTCTCTGCCTACGGTCTACCGGGCAGTTCTGTTTGTGACGATATATATATTTCTGGGCGTTTTTTTGGCCCGCCCGGTTTACCTGGGCGCCCTCCTCGGGCCCAACCGGCCTGGAGATGTCCTCACTCAGATAAAAAAAGTTAAAAAAATCTTGTTTTTTCAGGTTTTTGGTTCGAGTTTGGTTACGAATTTGAGCATACCTCCCAGGCAAAAGTTGTTTGTATTATTATTTTACATAACATATATATTTTTTCCAGATTTTTCTGAGAATGTTTTTTATAGTGTTTGCGTTTGGAGGGTTTTGGCGCTCGTTCGCGTTGGGTCGAGAACGTTTGGGTTCGGTCACCGAACCCGAACAGGATGCTACACAGCTTACACCTGATATTCCAAAAAACTTGCAATAAAATTTTCAAAGGTAATAAAAACATTTATACCTTAAAACAAAAGGAGCAAGCCAAATCAAAAACAAATAAAAAGTAGTGATCGGTGGATCATGTTTTTGACACCGCCATCTTTGGTGATTTTTATCTTTTTTTTTATTCTCGTGGGAGGCTGCCTTGTCGTTGGGTGTAGATACTTCAGTGGGTGGGGCTTTCAACTGAATGATCGCAGGCTCAAATCCTGCTGTAGTCTTTTATGGATATGATAGCACCGTGGACGCTATCTACAGGCCTGGACCAGGGTCCATATGGTCATTAACTCAGTGGTAAATTCACAGTTCCCCCCCCCCTCTCTAAAAGGACGATAAGGTTTCAAAGCTTCAGCATCATATCAGCTCCATATCTTAGAACAGCAGCACAAAAAGCGCCCTGATCTGGCTCCGCATTATTATAAAAAAAAAAGGAGAGGGCGACGGCTTTCAGTCTTTCAGACACGATTGTTGAACTGACCGGCTCCAGGAAACTCTTAGTTATTTTACTCTGTTCCTCTGATTGCACATCTGGATTTATTTTTCTCTGTTCGTCTGATTGCACATCTGGATTTAAATTTCAAATGTAGGTCTGCAATTTCAACAGCTCTTGGGTGTACCAACTGAGCTAACCCCGTTGGCTGGATTGGGTTGCTGACCGTTTACGAGAAGTACTTGGAATGATCTTAGAGCCTATTTAATATTTATGAACCCCGCTTTTCCACTTATTTGATTTATGCATGTCGTCCTTGCGCAGGGGTCATGCTAATCAATCTTCTCTGTATCATTCCAATTTTAACGGATGTCCTGAAGGACGGGATTTTTGACTGTTAAACCACTAGTACCTCCCAGCCGGTTTTTGCGGACACCCTGAATTTCACTGCGCACCGAAAGTTGCCGAGCCTGGGTCCCATTGTGTTTTCTTTTATGCTTCTCTTCGGAAATGGGAAAAAAAAAAAGAAGAACAAAATACAAAATAAAAAAATAAACTACGCTAGGGACGTGAAAGCAGCGGGATGAAGATTCTGGGGTACATGTGAGAGTATGCACCTTCAACGGGCGTTATAGCTCGGCTGAGATCACGGCAGCAGGAACAAACAAAAGAAAAAAAGCAAAGAATGAGTAAGAACTCTTTGGACGTGAAAGCAGCTAGATACAGAATCTGGAGTACCTGTGACAGTATGGCCTTCCAACGGGCATTGCAGCCGTGCTGTAATCATGACAGCAGAAGAAAAAGAAAGAAAAAGAAAATAAAAAAAGCAACAACACTTTGGACGTGAAAGAAGCTGGATACAGAATCTGGAGTACGAGTGAGAATGCGCCCCGCGTTGCAAAGCGTCAGCTGCCCGTGGAATGCGCCTTGCCTCCCGGATCACCAAAAAAAGAAAGCAAAACACATACAAAAAACGAAACTGGCTATGTTTCTGGGTAGATGCGTTCCTTTGAGTTCTGATGCGAGCACATGTCCTTCACGACGGCCTTCCCCGACGTCCTTTCTTTCTTTTCTTCTCTTTTTTCTTTTTTTTGGTAATGGGAAATTCAACTGATGCCGAGCCTGTGGTACCTCCGAACTCTTCGTGGAAAATGGGAAAGCGTCCACTTTTCCCTAATTTCCCAACACTGGCGGAGGTACTAGTGTTTTAACCTAGGCTACCAGAGTGGCCCGGGACCACTTGCCCGGCCGGGCCAAAAAAAAAAAAGAAAAAAGAGAAATTTATTTTTTATTTTCAATTCAGTGAAGAATGTGGATGTGACCCTGAGGCAAAAGTTGTTCAGTTTATTTTTCTCCATGACGTAGTTTTTTTTCAGATTTTTTTGTTTTGTTTTTTGCTGGGACCCTGTTTGGCCCTTGCACTGCCAGGCCGCCCGGGCAAACAAGCTGACCCAGGCTACCCGGCTGGTGGCCTAGCTGTTAGTTAGCACACGGCTAACTGTTTTTTTTAAAAATGGATGAGACATTCGTTCAAGAACGGTGTGATGACATTCGCAAAGGCCAGAGATGACAGTTCAAAATTGGTCACTCCTGTAAATCCATAAATCATAGAACAACCGAATAAGAAAATCCCAGAGGAAAAGGCACCTAAAATGAAATATTTTAATCCAGCCTCTGTAGAGAATTCAGAATTTCGTTTTGATGCTGCAATAACATAAAAACATAAACTTCTCAGCAATTTTTTGTTTATATGTTGTACCCAACTCACTCTTTATGTGGTTGTTTGAATCAATTAACTTAGATTCATTGAAATTTGACTGGAATTTCTACTCTGTTAGGTTGTCAAAGCTTGAAATATAAAGAAAGTGGTAGAGTGTCATCCTATTTATTCGGCGGAATTCTCATAGGTGCTACTGTTTTCTTCTTTTTCTTACCTTTACAAAATTTTGAATTTTCAGAAATTGTACGTCTTTTTTTTTTTTTTTGAAAGTTTTACCTTCTGTGCATCTCGTTCTAGGGGCGCATCTGAAAAACACGAACCTGCTGTTTTTTGTTCTTGGATGTCCTCCTCTGAACTTGTCTAGATGCTTCGAAGGGTTGGCTTTGAACGTCTGCGGTAATTGGTCAGCATCGACACACGCAATTGCCTAACTGAGGCAGGTGGCAGCTATGGAGGAGGAATGGACCACTGTGACGGGGGATGATGGGCAGCGGAATGAAGCAGAGGAATCAGGTCCTTTAAAGGAGGCTGATGTAGATGCAGACGGAACGGTGGCGGATGAAGATCAACACATAGGCGATGTGGCTACTAAATTTGTGAATGGCGTGCCATCAACGGAGGTTCCACAGGAAACAAATCCACACTTAAGTGATCTAGAAATTTTAGGATCTCAGTCGGAGGCCGATACAGAAGCTCCTGCTGAGGAGCCTGAGCCTCCTTTGGAAGAGTCACCTGTTAAGGAGGCCCCTGTGGAAGAGCCCTTTGCTGAAGAGCCCCCCGCTCAAGAGGCCCCTGTGGAAGACCCCCCTGCTGAAGATCCCCCTGTGGAAGAGGCCCCTGTGGAAGAGCCCCCCGCTGAAGAGCCCCCTGCTGAAGATCCCCCTGCGGAAGATCCCCCTGCTGAAGCGCCCCCTGCTGAAGAGCACCCTGCTGAAGATGCCCCGGCTGAAGAGCCCCCTGTTGAAGATTCCCCTGTTGAAGATCCCCCTGCTGAAGATGCCCCGGCTGAAGAGCCCCCTGCTGAAGATATCCCTGTTGAAGAGCCCCCTGCTGAAGAGCCCCCTTCTGAAGAGCCCCCTGCTGAAGAGCCCCCTTCTGAAGAGGCCCCTGCTGAAGAGCCCCCTCCTGAAGATGCCCCGGCTGAAGAGCCCCCTGTTCAAGAGGCCCCTGCTGAAGAGCCCCCTGCTGACGAGCTCCCTGCTGAAGAGCCCCCTGCTGAAGCCACCCCTGCAGAAGAGTCACCTGCCGAAGATCCCCCTTCAGAAGTGCCCCCTGAGGGAGACTTGCCTGTGGAAGAGGTCCATGCTGAAGAGCCCCCTGCTGACGAGCCCCCTGCTGAAGAGCCCCCTGCTGAAGAGGCCCCTTCCGAAGGACCCCCTGCAGAAGAGTCACCTGCCGAAGCGCCCCCTTCAGAAGTGCCCCCTGAGAGAGACTTGCCTGTGGAAGAGGTCCATGCAGAAGAGCTTCCCACAACTCCAGAAGTTGACCCTGCTGAAGAGCCTGTCTCAGAATTGTCCCCCGTGGAAAAGTCCCCGCGAGAAGAGCCTCCTGCTGAAGAGCCCCTTCCCGAAGAGCCTCCTGCCGAAGACCCTCCTGCCGAAGACCCTCCTGCAGAAGTGCCCCTTCCAGAAGAGCCTCCTGCAGGGGAGCCAGAACCCGCCACTGTGGAGGCCCCTCTAGAAGCCACCACAGAAAGTCTGCCTGAAGCCCCTGCTGAGGAGGTGGCCGTGGAAGAAGTTGCTGCTGAGCCCACTGTGGAGGAGGGCCCTATTGAGGCTGCGAGGGAGGAGACGCTTGCTGATGGAACCCCTGAGGTTGCACCTGCAGAGCCCATACTAGAGGAAGTGCCTGATGGGGCTGCTTTGGAGATTGACCCCCAGGACACGTCCCTGGACGGGACTCCTATGGAGGTGCCCTTGGAGGGGTCCTCTGCTGAGACACCCGTGAACAATGTCTTCCAAGCTTCTCAAGACGAGGCTGCCACTGATACCCACCCGGAAACGGCTGTTGCTGAAACCCAACTGGAGGAGGCGAGTTCTGAGGCTACTTATGGAGAGGATGCTGCCGCTGAGGCCTCCTTCTTGGAGCAGACTGCCGCTGACCCGAGCCCTGCAGCTGCTGTTGCTGAGCCTCCGCTAATGGAGGGGTCTGCTGAGGCTGGTGTGGAGGGTGCTGCGGTGGGCACGCCCAACACTGACGCTGACGCCAACGACACTGCTGTTGACGTGCCTGCTGATGTTGTGCCCACTGATGACATAGCCGAGGCGCTCATGGATGCTGTAGAGGACACCGGAGTGTCTGCAAGGGCACTTGTCGACTCGGTAGTCGGCTCTCTTATGGACGCTGTACGTGAGCCCCTTGCCGATGCTGCATCTGAGATCTCTGCAGAAGTCGCATCTGAAGTGCCTGTGGAAGAGACACCTGTGGATAAGAGTTGTGACTCACCGCCCCTGGTTTCAGAAGGAGAAACAGGGGAGCTTATAGTGAATGTACGTGACCTTGAAGGACCAGCTCCTGATGCATCCTCCCCCTCTGACGCGGTGCTCAACGCGGAGCAGGGAGGTGGAGGTGGTTTACTTGGTGTTAGGGATGAGCTTACCTCTCTTGCAGCGAAGTTTGGGGAGATGTTTACAGATGCTGAGCAAGTTGTTGCTGAAGTCAAGGAGTTTGAAGTGTTCGCGGCAGAAGCGGAGCCAGCTGCACAGGTGAAGGGTGATGAGCTTGCTACCTCCGTATCCGTTAATGCTAGAGCAGTAGGAGACGAGATTGCCAATTGTGTTGGCAACGAGGAGATGGTCGAAGCGGCAGTTGGTGATGCCGCGGCAAAACGACACCCGTTGATACTTCCTGCCTTGGATTCGGGGATTGCAGTAGTGACGGATGCAAAGGACGAGGTGGAACAGATGGTCGTGCCTCTGCTGCAGTCTTCTTTGCTGAATGGGGATACTACTCCTGTGGAAGAACAGAAACTAGGTGAGGGGGGCGTTCTTGTGGAGGGAGAAGGTGTGGTAGGCACAGCTGAGGGAGCGCCAAACGCAGTGGAGTCGACGGAACATGAACGGAGCGAGAAGACAGAATCACCGTCGCTCGATGAAAGTAGTTTTTTTGCCAATGGCTTGGCCGTAGCAGCAGGGGTTACTTCCGCCGCTGCTCTTGCCGGGGTAGGGATGGCTGCTTTCTCAGGGTTATTCAGCAATTCAGCTAAGTCCTCAAATCCACCACCCATACCTGCTGGTGTGGTCCAAGATGTCGGCCAATCTGGAGTGTCGGCTTTGCCCATGCCTCCCACAGCTGCCGGGTCGGAAGCAAGTCCATCGCCATCTCCAACTGCACCGCAAAACCATTGCGATGGTCAAACGGATGGGAGGTCAGGAGGTGTGGGACATGGAGTGCCAGCTCCCTCGGACAAAAGTCTCTCCGACAAGGCGTCGGGCCTTTTGCAGAGATTGGGCGCGGAGGAAGGCATGTTGCCTATAAATGGAAAGTTGGAAGAGCTTCATCATGCTGCAGACCGTGTAGGGAACCTGGCAACCGGTGTTAGTTCATCGATGAAGGATGCGGCCTCAGACTCATTACCTGATGGACTTGAGGAGAAGGCAAGGGCCTTTAGTCTTGGGGGGTCCGTGAGTAGTGGTAATCTCCCTGACCTGGGAGCCGCTGCCGCCCTGGTGCCCACTTGCAGAACAGACGCCGGATCAGTGCTGACAGCTACTGGCATGGGGTCTATTTTAGGAAACACTTCGAGTCTGGGGGCTGTTCTAGGGGATGGGAGCAGCAGGAAAGAAGCAACTAGAGAAGAGAGTGGACTGGCGCAGGCTCCTGCGGGGGAGCAGACAGCTGGGCATGATGTAGGTCGAGGGGTGGAAGTTCCTTCTCAAGCTGCTGCGCTTGCTGCCACAGTGGGTGGTATGAAGGAGGCAATCTCTTCTACGAAAGTGGACATCCCTATTCCTCCGGTGCAGGGGGTTTCTGGTGTTGATGGTCTGCGCACCAACCTGGCAGGGTTGGACGTGTCTTCCATTGTCAGCGATCTGGAGAGGCGGACTGCAGGTCTGGTGAGTGGAACAGGAATTGTACCTGGAGCAATCGGTGCCAAGCTTGGTTCCACAGCAGCAGCCACAGGTGTTGCTGATGCTCCTGCCACGAATGACTCACAGATGCAGGAGAAGAGAAGTCCTGATGGGAAACAACTCTTGCCGAGCCCCGAAGCAATTGGAGACGTCGGTGTGCCGTTTCTGACAAAGAACCTGACATCTGCGGAATGGCCATCTGCAGCCAGTGGTTTGCAGGAGGGAAAGCAAAAGTTGGCGGAGGGAGTGGGACAGTTGTGGGGTGGCGTCCCGATGACGTCTATGACGGCTGTCATGGGAAACGTGTCTGGAGTGGTAAAGGGTGTGAAAATCCCGGACACCGTCCCAGGGATTGGGAGCGGTGGAAAAGCGGCGGCAACAGAGGAAGAGAGCAAATTGATGCAGGCTCGAGTGAGAGAGAATACAGCGGAGTGTGCAAATGAGGCGGGATCTTCCTCGCCGGCTGATCTGGCGACTGCCGCTGTGGGGGGGGCGAAGAGGGGTATTGCCAGCATCACCGATCTGAATGCTAACCTGGCAAATTTGAATCAAGCTTCACTTCTGCAGGTGGGGAAGACAAAGCTAGTGGGAGGAGTGCGGCAGCTGGGTACTGCGGTCACGGTTGGAACTAACGGCATCGCTGCCATGGCTACAAATACAGGGATTGAGGTAGGTCTTGCCTGCGTTGCCTCCCACGACGCAAAAAAAACCCTCTTTTTGTAAATCGTTTTCTTTTTCTTTTTCTCTCCTGCAATGTCAGGACTTGGCTTGATGTTGGTTGGTCTGCTTTGGATGGATGTCAAGAATACAATTTTTTTTATTTTCTGGTTTTGTTGTTCTACTGTGGGGTACCCACTCAATCTCAGGACTTGGCTTGATTCTACAGTCAGCTTCTCCTGGGACAACCTCTACATGCCTCTTGCATGGTGATTCTGTTTTAAGAGCCCATCTGAAAAAGAACATCCTCCTCAAACACACACACACCTGTCTCTTATACACATCTAGA